AAACTGTTCCTTGTCCCTTCTTATCAGTGACCGAGTTCTGCGCACCTGAGAATGGTGCAAATCCTGATCCCCTGTCAGACGAACCGCATGACAAGCATCTGTGGCATCCAGTGTCTCCTGCAAGGTGAAATTCTGTCTTGCTCTCGGGCGTTCACCAACCATTACTTGAGTTGCATCAAGCGTTTTGCGCTTGAAGGTGTCCCACAGAAGTACAGGGTCCATGAAAATATTGAGTGCTGTGAACTGACCAGAAATTAGAGGGTAGCTACAACTAATTTGGTCAGTACCACAGAACTCGGCACTCCTATATACCTTGCAGTTCTGGAGGATCCTCCGAGTGCTAACGAGGATGTGGTTGATCTCCTTGGCTACGTTACCCGCATCCAAAGATTGACAGAAATATCATAGCCAGCTTGATCGCAGCCAGATACCGCTCTGGTCACCCAGAACAGTACGAATATCTTGCTGAGGGCAACTGTCCAACACAGATGCAAGTTTGGCGTAGAACTTCTCTTTCATGTTGAGTTTACAAACATTGGTAGGTGCCTACACAACAATGAGAAACGATCAAATGCTAACTACAGTCTCAATACCATTATATGCTCATTGACCAGAGTAACCTCTACTACCGAGGGCTGGATTCTGAAGGAGATGGCTATGGCTACTCACTGAAGATGGTGACCATTGCTGCAGCCTGAACAGTTATAAGTATAGCCACCTACACTGATTGTTCTGCTGCCAGGCTTCTCACCTCCGAGAGAGCAGCCACCTCAACTCTCAGCCTCCCCAGTTTTCTCGACAGTAGTAGCAACTGATCATCCTGACGCAAAGAACGGACGTTCCAAGCCCACACACCCTGACGTCTCGCCTGAGATTTAGCCTCGGGCGGTCACTTCGAGTGGACGCCACCGCAGCCACGCCCGCCGACGCTGCCCAATATAAAAGGGGCGACTGACTGCGGGACCCAACATCCACCTGTAGGGTTCCCTTGGGCTTTTCCCCATAAGCTTCATTCCGGGCTGGCGGACGCCGGAACGTAGGCAGGACGAGTAGCTCCCATTCCCATCTTATGCCCAGCAGTCGCCCTCCCAACGGGGTCCACAGCCTGCCTTACTTGCGGGAGGGAAGGGCATTTCCCCTCTCTCCTCCCATTTATATGCGACGTTGCTGATCGATTATATATATTTATATATCTATCTGTATATATATATATATATATATATATATATATATATATACATAAGTGTGTGTGTTTGTGTGTTGAGTTGTGTGTTTTAGTTGTGTGTGTGTGTGTGTGTGTGTGTGTGTGTGTGTGTGTGTGTGTGTGTGTGTGTGTGTGTGTGTGTGTGTGTGTGTGAAACGACTGATAAGATAGTGACCTTGATGAAGAATACTATGGCACAGCCCATAGTAATGTCAACATAGCTTTAAAAATAACTTATTATGAGAAAACGAAATATTATAATGAAAATGAAATATCGAAAGTAAAAAAAAAGAAAAAAAAACAAGAATAATATCGATTATCTTAATGAAAAATAGCGGTGATAATCATAAGAAAAAAGATAATGATAATGAAAGAGGGTAGAAAAGAATAACAGATGAAAAAAAGAAAAAAAGAAAAAAGAAATTAAGATGAGTTTCATGAGAGTGATGATGTTAATGATAATGATAATGGTAGTGATAATGATGATGATAATGATGATGATGATGGTAATGATAATGATGATAGTGATGCTAATAATGCTGCTGATCATAATGATGATAATGTGATGATACTGATGAAAATGATAATGATAATGGCGATGATGATGTTGATAATGGTGATCATAATGACGATAATAATGATGATAATATTGTTGATGATGATGATGGTAGTAATGATAATAGTAATAATGATAATGATTATAATGATTAGTGTTAATAATGATTATGATCATAATAATCAATGATAATCGAAATGATAATACTAATAATGGTTATGATTATATTAACGATAATAATAACAATAACAATGATAATAATGATAATGATAATAATGATAATAATAGTAAAAAATGATTATGATGATAAGAATGATAACAGTAATGAAAATAATAATAATGATAATAATAATAATAATAATAATAATAATAATGATAGAGATAATGATAGTAATAATGATGACAATAGATTGATAATGATAACAATGATAATAATGAAAACAACAATAGTGATAATATCTATTACTAATATAAGAATGATGATGATAATAAAAGAAGTAATAGTAGTAATAATAATGATGATAGTAGTAAAAGCAAGAAATGGCATTGATGATAATAATAATTATCGTCATCATCATATCATTATGATTATCACTATTATTATCATCATTGTTGTTTTTGTCATCATCATCATCATTATTATTTTAATTATTATTATCATTAGTAGTAGTAGTATCATCATCATTGTCATTATTATTTGTATCATCATTATTATCATTATCGTTATCATTATTATCATTATTATCGTAATCTTTAACCATCTTGGAAAGATTCTACTATTAAGGTAAAGGGAGATATGAAATAATGAAAAGAAAGAAAGACAGTGAAAAAAAACAAAGATTGAAAAAGTAAAAAAAAAAAAAAAAAAAAACGGAAAGAAAAAACAAAACAAAAGGGAAATGTGAGAAAGAGAGAAAAGAAGAAAGATGAATAAAAAAAAACTGATAACGAATAAGAAATAGAGTGTTAGGAACAATCGCTATTTTTCATTCCTTTCTCTTTCTCTTCTTCCCTCTCTCTCTTTCTCTCCCTTTCTTCGTCTTAAATTCCGTCCCTGTTTCTCACTACGGGACGAATAGGAATAAGAATAAGCATAAGAATAAATATGGGAAGAATAAGAGGTAAGAATAATAAGAGTAAGTATAATAAGAATAAGAATAAGAAAAAGAATAATGATAATAAGAATAAGAATATGAAGGATAAGAATAAGAAAAACAATAATGATAATAATAACAATAATAATAATAACAATAATAATAATGATAATAATAATAAAAGTAAAAATAAGAATAAAAGGAATAATAAAAAGTGAATAATAATAATAATAATAATAATCAGAACAAGAATAAGAGCAAGAATAATAAAACAATTAAGAATAAGAATAAGAGCAATAAGAATAAGAAAAATGAGAATAATTATAATAAAGATAATAATGATAATAATAAAAAATTATAATAACAATAATAATAATAATAATGGAAATAATAATAAGAGGAAGAATAAAAAGAATAAGAAGAATAAGAACAAATAAGAATGAGATGAAAAAGAAGAAGAAGAAAGGTAGGAGAATAAAAATGAGGGGAAAGGAAGAAAGACAAGACTACGAGGATGTAGAAGAAGAAGAAGAAGGAGGAGGAGGAGAAGACGAAGAAGAAGAAGAAGAAATAGAAGAAGGAGGAGGAGGAGGAGGAGGAGACGAGGAAGAAGAAGACGATGAAGAAGAAGAAAAAGAAGAAGAGGAAGATGATGAAGAGGAAAAGGAGGAAGAAGAATAAAGAATAACCTAAAAAATGATAATAAAAAAGACAAAAGAAGGAGAAAAAAAAAGACTAAATGATAATAAGAAAGCAAGAGAAGAAACGAAGCAAGATATAAATAAAAGTCAAGAGAAAAAAAAAAAAAAATAGGTTAAGGGAAATCAGAAAGACAGGTCAAGAAAAAACAGAGAAGAATGAAAAGAAAGAGAAAGAAGAAAGAAAAACAAAGAGCAAGAAGTCGTCAAGAAAAAGAAAATAATAATAATAAGAGAAAGACAAGAAAAAGAGAAGGAGGAAGAAGAATAATAAGAAAAAGAAGAAAAGGACAAGAAAAAAGAAGAATAAGAATAAAACAAGAAAAACAATAACAATAATAACAAGAGAAAGACGAGCTGCACAAGAAGAAGAAATACAAAAGAAGAAGGAGAAGATAAAATACAAAAGAAGAATAATAATAAGAAAAATACAAAAAAGAAGAAAAAAGAAAGAAGAAAAAATACAAAAGAAGAAGAAGAAAAACAAAAAAAGAAGAAAAAGAAAAGAAAAGAAGAAAAATACAAAAGAAGAAAAAAAATACAAAAGAAGAAGAAAAAAATACAAAGAAGAAAAAGACACAAAAGAAGAAAGAAGAAAATACAAAGAAAAAAAGAACGATACAAAGAAGAAGAAAGAAAAATAAAAAAAAAAAAAAATCCCCAACTCACCCTGGGAATACGTGAGGTTACAAGGGAGCGAGGACGCGGGGGTGACTGTTATATCCACGGAAGTCGCGTTCGGTTCCCGCCCCAGCATCCCGAGGTCGACCGAGTGCTGCTGGAGGATCCCCTGGGCGCCGAGGCCTATCGCTGGGTGCCTGCCCCCTGGTGGGAGGGGAGGGAGGAGGTGGGGAGGAGGGAGGAGAGGAGGGAGGGGTAGGAAGAGGGAGTGGGAGGAGGGAGGAGGGGTGGGATAGGGGTGGGAGGGAGGCAGGAGTGGGAGGAGAGGGAGGAGGGGGGGGAAGGGTGGGAAGAGGAGGAGAGGGGGGGTGGGAGGAGGAGGAGTGGGGAGGAGGGGGAGGGAGAGGAGGGAGGAGTGGGGGAGAGGGAGGGAGGAGGTAGGAGGAGTGGGGTGGAGGAGGAGGAGGAGGAGGAAAGAGAGGAGGGAGGGAAGGAAAGGATATTGAGAAGGGTAAGAAGGAGATTAAAGGGAGTGGAGGAAGGAGAAAGAAAGGGGGAAGAGCAGGGCAAAAGAAAAAGACGAAAGAAGAAGAAAAAAAAATTAATCATACCTTCTATGTTAACCTAAATTCCAATCCCCCTAAAAAAAAGATAAACAAACTGCGCATATTACCAAAAATATTTCCCATAAAATTCCTTCGATGCCACCAGATGTATTAGCAGTCTGCTGGGCACAGGCAAGGCACGTAGCAGAGGGGGGCGTGGTCACAACGATAGGATTTGTGGAGGTCCCGCCTACAGCCCCGCCCTCCGCCTCGCTCCGCCCA